TTTTTTTTTTTGTTTTTTTGTTTTTTGTAAATTGAGCTTAAAGTTTGCCCCCCTGCAACTTTCACCAATAATTTCTAATTTTTTCCTCTAGGAATATACAATACACATTTTCACCATTTTTTCATGATAACCTTTGGAATATTTGGTGAGATCTCTAAAGTTACTCATAAATTTCCAGGCTAAACTTTCTCAATCTCTTCCACTCTTCCTTAAATAACACGGTTTCACAAGTCCTTTATTGTAAGCTCTTTTCTCGGTATAGACAAGCTCTAGTTTGTCATTTTTATTTTAAATTGTAGGCCCAAGAATTAAAAAGAGTGCTCTGGACAGCCCTTGGGCTCTTTGCTTAACTCTGGTAAATATCAGTTTCCTTAGTTTAAGATGCAGTTAATAGTAGGTATTGACTTTATGGCATTGTGGGCTGACTATGGATAATGTATGTAAATGGTCTGGACCAGTCCCTGTTTAAAAATCTGTTGAGAGCTAGGTAAATCCAAGAGAAAGCCCCAGAATAAGGTCAGCACAATGGCTAGCTTCATAGAAAGCAAAGTCCAGCACCAAAGATAGTTTCACCATGAGTAGCACCAGTGACTTGCCTCTCCAGGGCCCCGCCTAGACTCAGTCCATTCTTTTATTCAACATTTATAACGCCTACTAAATGCCAAGCACTGTTCTAGAATCTGATGATATACCATAAATCAATAAGATAAAAATTCCTGCATTCTTATGTGGGAAACTAACAATTTAAAAAAGCATATACTACACTAGAAGAAGCTAACTATTATGAGGAAAGATAAAACAGGAGATGAGGATGGGGAGTGTGGGATATTTCAGTTTTAAACAGAATGGTCAGGAAAGACACAAGTCTTCCCTGAGAGGATGACATTTGAGAAAATATTTGAAGGAGGTGAGGGTGTGAACCATAAAGATATCTGGGGGAAGAGGATTTCTAGCAGTGGGAACAGTAAGTGGAAAAGCGCTGAGGTGGGAGCATGCACGGATGAGAAGCAGCAGAAAGAGGTACTGCTGGAGCGGATAGTGACAGGCAGCAGAGGAGGCCAGAGCGGTGATGCGGAACTTTGGAGCCCTCGTCAGGACTTTGGCTTTTCTTTTGAGTGCTACAAGAAGCAACTGGAGGGCTTTGATAAGAGGAGTTACATAATCTTTAAATGATCTGACCTACGTTTAATAGGATCACTTTAGTTACTGTGCTAAGAACAGACTGTGGGGGAAGAGACTAGAAGCCATGGAACTAGCCAGGGGATATTACAATATTCCTGGCAAGAGAAGATGATGATTTGAGCCAAAGCAGCAATGGCGTAGATGACGAGAAGTGATCTTTTTGGGGATATATATTTTAAAGGTAACTGGCAATATTTGCTGATGTATAACATGTGGAGTATAGGACAAAGAGAAAAGTTAGACAGACTGAGTTTTTTGTTTTTTTTTTTAAACCTTAGCCACATCAAAGGATGGAATAGCCATTAACTGAGCTGAAGATGACTGTGAGAGGAACAGGTTTACAGGAGGTTGGAAGTTTGATTTCAGAAAATGTTAATCTTAACATGCCTATTAGATACCCAAATGAAAAGAGATGTTAAGCAGGCAATTGGATAGATGAATTAAGAAAAGATATCTAGGATGGAGGTATACTTCAGATTTATCAGCATATACTAGTATCTAAAGCCTGGGTCATATCCACCATTAGGATGAGGATTCAAATTCAGATCCTGATAACTCCCATACAATTGCCTACTGTGCCAAACATGATTATTAACATCATTTTTCTTATCCATCTGAGCCTGAGTCCTGTCCATGGCTTTGTGTGGAGTTATTTTAACCCAAATTGACAGCTATCAGCCTTTTCACTACCAGTGCAATGCCTCAGATATTAAAATTCTGATCCAAGGTTTTGCGATTCTCTATGAAAAAACTTGGCAATTTGCAATGCTGTGCAATATGCAATTCCTGCTCTCTAAAAGTTTTAATACACAGATCAATTTTCTCTCACAATGTCACCTGAAGTGGGCCTATTTTGTGTTTGGTGACCTGCTAAATCCTGAATGAAACTTGATCATGTGAGAGACACACTTCAGCTTACTGTGGCGGTAAGAGCATGGAACAGGGAGTTTGAGTCTGGGCTCCATCACCTACTCCTTGTCTCACCTTGGATGGCTGACTTTATGAAATGAAAATAAGGATACTGACCTCAGTGAGTCATGGTGATAATCTAATGAGATCACATTTATTAAAACATTTTATAGAGTCCTATTTTATAAATGACCATTTTCTTCTTTTGGGTCTAGAAAAGGTGCATATCCAGCTGTTAGCATTCTATGGCAGTCATTTAGGGACCATAAAAAGGATTCAGAGAAAAGAACTGGTCAGTAACATGTTCTGTTGCCCAGGTCTGCCAAGGTAGGGTTGAGGGTTAAGTCAAGATCAAACTGAAGATCCACTCCTGCCCACCACTCAACGCTGTCCTGTGAGCAACATGGCCATGGAGGAGTCCTTACTAGTTTTTAAGAAACACTTCCACACACACAGGCACCAAATTCCCAGGTAAATATGCTTCATTTTCTTGAGAAATGCCAGGAGCACAGAAGTTTTCTCTAGGCTTCAATTCTTAAGTCTCTGGCATCTTTACACGTCAATTTGTTCTTTATAGTGGCAACCACTGCAAGTAGGGCTGAAAAGGTGGGGGTGAGATAAAAATCCTAGGGGAAAGATTCCTCTCCCCCAAAAAGTTTATTTGAAACTCCCCTTTTTCCTGAAAATTTATGTTGTGTGGGTTTTCAAAGGTACAGCATCAGAGAGGAAGGAGGCATAGAGAAGAAGTTCACATTTACACTGTCTTTTGCAGCACCTATTAGTCTTGGTATTTGAAAGAATGACTTTAGGAACTACAGAGAGCTCTAGAACTTTTGGGTTTACTGTAAAACATTTTGTATTTCCCTACCCTCCTTGCTTTGGTTTATGGTGTGTGTGTGTGTTCTTCAAAATAAGACATCTGCTGTGTACAATTTCTTCCACAGGGCCCTTGGAATTTTATCAGGGCTAGTTGGTTAGACAAACCAGCAAATATTTGTAGAATCCCTACTAAGTGCCTGGAGCGATGCTAGTCCATTTGGATAGAATGTTCCCTAGGCGTGGAGGGAACATTGGAGGCATGTTCCCTGGGCATGGAGGGCATGGATATTTTGATTTGATTGTTTAGCTCTGAGATGCCTTCAGCCCCTGCATTTATGGATCTCACATGGCGTTCTCTCACTGAGACTGCAAGGGATTCAGAAATATGTTCTGTTCTTTCTCAGAAGAAAGGCCATGTACAGCCGAGGTTGGAGAAATCACAGCTCTGTAACTAAGTTTATCCGCCTGGGCTTCTCCAGAAATCCTAGGACCAACTGGATCCTTTTCTTCCTCTTCCTCTTCCTTTACTTATTTACAGTCCTGGGCAATGGGTTCATTGTTACCCTGATCAGAGTAGATGCACGCCTTCACACCCCCATGTACTTCTTCCTCAGTATCCTCTCTCTCCTGGATCTCAGCTATGCCACCACCACAGTGCCCCAGATGTTGGTCCATCTAATAAGCAAGAATAAGACCATCTCCTATGTTGGGTGTGTTGTCCAGATGTACATTTTCCTGACCTTGGGCATCACTGAAACCTGGATTTTTGCAGCCATGGCCTATGACAGATATGTTGCCATATGCTATCCACTCCACTATAGAGTCAAGATGAGCCAAACCCTCTGTGTACTCCTGGCAGTCAGCTCTGCCCTTTATGGTCTTACCTGTGCCATTGTCTACACGATCTTCGCAATGAATCTGCCCTATTGTGGCCCCAATGAAATCAACCACTTCTTTTGTGAAATTCCTGCTGTCTTGATGTTGGCCGGTGCAGATACATCTCTTAATGACCAAGTGGACTTTATCTTGGGTTTCTTCTTGCTCCTGAGCCCATTATCCCTCATCCTGGCCTCCTATGTTTGTATGTTCATGACTATTCTAAAGATTCGCTCCACCCAGGGGCAAATCAAGGCCTTTTCCACCTGTGCCTCACATATCATTGTGGTCACCATGTTCTGTATTCCATGCATGGTCATGTATATGAGGCCTGGCTCTGAAGCCTCCCCAGAAGATGACAAGAAGTTGGCCCTGTTCTACAATGTCATTTCTGCCTTTCTCAACCCCATCATCTACAGCCTCCAGAACAAGGATGTGAAGAGGGCTTTCCTCAAGTTAATCAGAAGGAATGAAGACACTCAATAGGCCATGGACTAGGACTGTCGGCTGTGCCTCTAAGTCTCTGTTTATATCATCCGCACTTTCACTGAAGTCATTAAACTGAATGAGGAGTTGAGGATGAGGGAGATATCTAGAAAAAAAACACTTTTGCATTAATTTGGCCACTGGAAACATGAGGAAGGGACCCAGAGAACTGTGTTCAAGGCTTAAATACATCATTGACCTTCTGTGGCTTGCGACAAAAAGTCACCTCACTTCTCTGGGATTTAATTTCCATATCTGTAAAATGTGTTTCATGATATTCACTGTGCCTAAATAAAAATAACTAACTTTATTGATCTCTTTCCATATGACAGTTGCAGTCTAAGTGCTTTATTTGTACTTATTATTTTAATTCTGATAACAACTCTAGAGGTAGGTATTATTATCCTCTTCATACAGATAAAGAAACTGAGGCAAAAGAAGATTAAGTGTGTTGCCAAATGCCACCCAGCTAGAAAGTAACACAACTGATATCTGAACCTAGGTAGTATAGTTCCAGAGCCCAGGCTCTTATCTCTTATATTATGCCACATCTCAAGTAGTCATTAGAGATTTTTGAAGCTCAGCTGAGATAATGGATGGGATACTATTGAAGAACATTTCAAACACTTATGATTATTATTCTAAGTCACAACACAACTATAGGGTCAGATGCATGAAGTTTAGAGCTCTATTGGATACTTTGGACCTCACCAGCATTCTGTAGCCTAAGCAAAAGCATTGTGCAGTGGAATATTAACTTCTCAATAAGTGTTTGTTGAGTGATTTTTTCCCCAGCCCCACCCCTATCCCTGGTCTGCAATCTCCCCAGTTCTTTCAGCTCTTCTTCACTTCCGTGGATCCTTCTCTTGTTTCCATTGTTCCTACTTTCACTGTGGCTTCCAGCAACCCAGACTTTTATTTATAAGGAGAATGTCTTCGTTCCATAACCAACTGATGCTTAAATTTCCTCCACCACCAGAGAGACCAGTGGGAAGTGTCCTGGACTTTAATCTTCACCTAATTTGTTGAGACCTTGGAAAAACCACCTAATATCTCTGGAACTCAGTTTCCCCCCTTCCATCTGTAAAATGGAGATAATGACCATATCTGACTCTGGCTATACCATAAGATTATTTTTAAGTTTAAATGGGAATATGCCTTAAAACTGAAATAATGGTATAAATTATCATTAGAGTCATTGCCTTCAAAACCAAATACCTTAGAAAATGTTCATTAAGTTATTAACAGTAGCTTGTATTTGTCAACTACAAATGTTAAGATCAGGCTCATTGTGAGATCAGGATGTATGGGTTGGATACTCATGATGGTAACTGACTGCATATCCAGAGTCATACTTTCAATAAACACACACACACACAAAATTAGTGAGACACAATCACAACATCAGATGCCATATTAACCAGGAATTATACTATTTCTAGTGCTGTCAGAGCAAATCAAATTTCTATCACCCTGGATTTGGACAAATATTAAATTGCTTTGCAAAAGGCAACAGAAGATGAATCTTTTAAATCAGCTACTCTCTACATGTCTTTCTAATAGGCTTCAATTAACAAAATATTCCAATGGCTGTTAGCTGCTTAGAAATGAGTTTTATTTGCAAATTAAGGGTCATCTGAATGTTAAGACAACCCAAAAGACTACTAAATGCTAACAGTGTGATTTGCTCATTTATCTTCTCTAGAAGATAAATTTAGGGGAATTGCCAGTCTTGAGAACTCTTAGGCTTCCCCAAGCATTAAAGGAACATGAGTTCTAAGAGGGATATGGAACTGTAAGAAGGAAGAGTCTGCAGTCTACGGGTTTCCTGCCTGAAGGCCACAGCCTCTAAGGAGAGAAGACCTGGGGAAAGAGGAGCCTTGATTTTCTGGAGGAAAAAAAAGGAAACGGTCAGTAAGACATGCCGATTGTGTTTTGTGGGGGCTTGTTAGGAAAACTGTTCTGGGGTCATTAGAGAGGGCACGTGAGGATCATCTGCTGGAACTAATGGGGCTTCTTTCTTAGCGTTTTCAGAGCAGTAGAAACCCACAGCAGACCTACCCATTTCCCTACCTCCTAATATGATCCCTTTACCCTGTCCTGACTGTCCTGACTCCTCAGGTCTTTGCATAGACTGTTATACCTGGAATGCCCTCTCCTCCCACTTGACTACTTCTTACTCATCCATGAAGGGCTCATACAGGTCTCTTCTTCAGGAAGTTTCCTAACTACTTGCAGCCCAGATGAAAGTTTTTTTCTTCTCCCAGAACTCTCAGCACTATCAACTAAGCACTCAACTCTGGCCTTAGAAACATATGGGGTGGAAGAGATCTTAAAGAGTCCAAACTTCCTCTTGTCCTTGAGTCCCTTTGACAACAAGAACTGCTTGTTGCCGAAAATATATTTGCCTCAAGCTATTTCAAATGCATACGGATTGGAATGTCCTTTCTCTCATTCATGATTTGAAAAAAAAAACAAAAAAAAACACATCTCAGCAAACTGGGGATAAAAGGAAGTTTCCTTACTCCGACAAAAAAAAAAAAA